GTCGCGTAGCCTCACGGAGTCTTTCCTTACACGCTTAGACCTTCTGCTCGTATCAACTGCCCCCTGGTCTAAAGTAACCTTGTCCTCAAGGTTTAGAGAGGGATAGGCTTTGCGCAAATTGATTGCAGTTTCCCAAGTTGAATCTTCCGGAACTGATTGGGACCATTGAACCAAAAATTGTTGTTGTGGACGCCCCCTAGCTGAACTCATCCTTGATGCCAGTATTGCAACCGGTTGCTGTATTGGTTTGTTGTCAATTGTCTGAGGTGGAAGGCTCTCATATTGAAACTGAGATGGAGCACAAAATGGTTTGAGAGCAGAGATGTGGAATGTCGGGTGAATTCTAGAGCCTTCAGGAAGTTGCACTTGATACGCTACAGAGCTGATAACCTTCTGCACTGGAAAAGGCACATAATATCGCTTGGCCAATTTGTGATTCGAGCGTTTCAACACAGATATCTGACGATATGGTTGAGGCTTGACTAACACTAAATCACCAACTTCCAATTTACGATCAGAACGATGTCTATCTGCCTATAGCTTCATGCGATTTTGTGCCCGAGACAAATTCAACTTCAATGCTGTCAACAATTCATTGCGATGTTGCAGCATAGAATCCAGTGCTTCAATTTTGACCATCCCACGTGGATAATGAGGAATGTGGGGTGGTAGCCTCCCATACAGTGATTGAAATGGTGTCATCTTGATGGAAGAATGTACTGATGTGTTGTAGTGAAGCTCAGCCCAGCAAAATAGAACAGACCAACGTTGGTTCTCCTCTGAACAGAACGCTCTCAGATATTGCTCCAAGTAACGGTTAGTAGTTACCTCTGATTGCCCATCAGATTATGGGTGATAAGCTGAGGTAGCACTAAGCTTGGTCCCACTTAATTTGAATAGTTGCTTCCAAAACTGGCTGAGGAAGATTGAATCACAATCAACGTGGAAACCCATGAAGACGCACCACCATATTGGAAAATATCTAAGCCACTGTTGAAGTTGTATATGCAGCTTGTAAGGGTCCAAAATGGGCAAACTTTGTTAAACGGTCCACAACCACTAATATTGCACTGTATCCGTTTGAACAAGGGAGACCAGTCACAAAATCCAATGTTAGATCCTCAAACACAGCTTCCGGAATTGGAAGTGATTGTAAAAGTCCCAAAGGAGCTTGTGTAGAAGTCTTAACTTGCTGACATATGATACACTGTTGTACGAAGGCTTTGACATCATCCCTTATCTTAGGCCAATGAAATGTAGCAGATAGTCTACGAAACGTTTTCAAAGTACCAGCATGGCTTCCTAATTTCATAGAATGAGCCTCTTCAAGTAGTTGGTCTTTCAACTTCGATTGAGACCCCAATAAGTATTTATTCTTGTAGAACAGAATGCCATCTCGACACAGTATAGATGCATCCACTTCACCTCCATTCTGCAACTTCTGGTGTAACAGAAACAATTCAGGATCGGATTTATTTTCTGCTTTGATCACAGCTAGCAAGTCAAATTCAGGTTCTGACCATAAGGTGCATAAAGAGCTAACTTCCTCATGCTGCAGTGACAATGAATCTGCAACAATATTGGAGATTCCTGGTTTATACTCAATCCTGAAACAGTACCCCAACAACTTGATGACAAATTTATATTGCTCTGGAGTTAACACGGTTTGTTGAAACAATTGCTTGATACTTTGGTGATCTGTTCTAATTACAAACTCAGCACCAAGCAAATAATGCCGCCACTTTTTCACAGCCTCTGTTATGGCATATAATTCCCTTATATAGGTGGAAGCTACAGCCATTCTTGGTCCAAGCTTCTTACTATAAAAAGAAATAGGCTTCCCATGTTGAATTAACACAGCTCCCACACCTGATTTTGATGCATCTGACTCCACTTTAAAAGGAGATGGGAAATCTGGAAGTGCCAATACAGGAGTGGATGACACAGCTTCTTTTAAATTCTGGAAGGAAGCCTCAACTTCTATCTTCCACGAAAACTTATCATGTTTTAGCATATCTGTTAATGGGGCAGCAATTGTAGCATAATGATGCACAAATCGACGATAATAACCAGTCAATCCTAAAAATGCTCGCAGCTGTCTAACAGAAGAAGGCTTGGGCCATTCACGCATTGCTGACACCTTCTTTGGATCAGCTTTCACACCCAACTCAGAAACAATGTGACCCAAATAGGATATTTCAGATACAGCAAAATCTCATTTACTTAATTTCACAAAAAAAAATTCTGAATTAAACAATTCAGTACCTGTTCTAAGTGTTTAACATGCTCCTCCAATGATGAACTATACACTAGAATATCATCAAAGAAAACGATAACAAACTTCCTGAGAAATGGTTGGAAGATCTTGTTCATCGTCGACTGAAAAGTGGCTGGAGCATTTGTTAGGCCAAACGGCATCACAAGGAACTCGTAATGGCCTTCATGTGTGCGGAAGGCTGTTTTGTGGATATCTTTTGGAACCACTCTAATTTGGTGATACCCAGCACGAAGATCCAATTTGCTGAAAAACCACAGCTCCGAGCAGATCATCTAACAGCTCCTCAATTGTAGGTATGGGGAAACGGTCCTTCACAGTGATTGAATTTAAGGCTCTATAGTCGATACACATACGCCATGATGAGTCTTGTTTCTTCACCAACAGAACCGGGGAGGAAAATGGGCTCTTACTATATTGAATAAAGCCCGATGACAGCAGTTCTGAAACTTGTTGTTCAATTTCACTCTTCTGCTGATGAGGATATCGATATGGTTTCACATTCACAGGTTGAGAATCTTTAGCTAAGTGAATGCAATGATCCATTCCTCTGAAAGGAGGTGAGGATTTTGGAATTGCAAACACCAATCCACAGCACATCAGTACTTGCCACAGCTGGAAGGGAACTCTGTCTCTGTATTTTTTTAATTCGGATGTCAACTCTTCCTTATATATGCTTTCTTGTTGACCCTCCAAAATGCAGCACCTGTCTTCGTTATTATATTTTGAAACTCCATCTACAGCTCCACATAACTTCACACATTCTCCTTGCCATGCAAACTCCATCGATAAGTCACTATAATCATGAGTGACTCTCCCTAATTGGCTCAACCAGCACATTCCCAAAATTACACTTAATCCTCTAAGATCAGCAACCCACAGGTCCACCACAAATTCTAGACCCTGTATCATCAGTGAAACATTGACACATTTTTTTTCACAAATCATATACTCACCATTGCCCATAAAGACCTTCATCCTACTCACACGAGACATTGGCAGCTGCAATTCCTCCGCTGATTGTCTACGGATAAAATTATGCGAGCTTCCTGAGTCAATCAACACTGCTACTTCTTGCTTCTTGATTAAGGCTGATAGTTGCAAGTAACGTGGATTAACTGATGCTGCCAATGTATGTAATGCTGCATGGGTTACATTTTCATCCTTATTCTCCACCTGCCACACAATCTCCTCTTCTAGTTCCTGTGAGGATTCATCTGGATCACCAATCAGTAGTAACATGTGCGCCTTGCATCTATGGCTTGCTGTCCATTTCTCATCACAAGTATAGCAAATACCTAATCTCTTTTGCGTTGCAATTCTTCTAGTGATAATTTTTTTATGGGTAACGAAGAGAGTGACGAGGAGGGTAATGCCAAAGGAGCAAAAGTATTACCTTGGTTAACCGCCATGGCAGAAGTAGTTGGAGTTATTTTATCAGTCGAGTTTTTCCAAGAAATTAATGGCGAAGAACGATTGGGAGGAATCTTCTTGGACGATGAAAGAAATGATGACCGTAGCTCATTAAAATGAGAGTCATAAGACATTGCTAACTGCATTGCTTGATGCAATGAAATAGGCCAATGTAATTGTATTGCACCTCGTAGGTCTGGTTGAAGACCAGAGACAAAGAATTCCATTAAAAGATCATCTCCAAGATCTGTTACCTGGTTAATCAATCGTTCGAACTCTTTCATGTGATCTAGTAAGGTCCCAGTCTGCGTAAGCTTTGAAAGAACACCACGAACATCACGATGGTTTGGAAAGGCAAACCTCTGTTTCACTGCTACACAAAATTCTGGCAATGAATTCACTGTACCACTTCCAAAGATCCATTGATACCACGGTGCGGCTGCTCCCTCCATTTTTAGACCTGCCAGTTGTACCTTCAACCCTTCTGGAATCTGTTGAAGACAAAAATAGAGTTCTGTCTTAAAAATCCAATTGTTTGGATCGTGGCCATTGAATGCCGGAATCTCCATTTTCACTTGCTTACACAGGTTTCTCGTTTCCGGTATCTCCATGTGCGCCTGTAACGGCGAAACTTGAATCGGAGATTGCTTAGCAACGTGAGGAGACAGATCTCTCAGACGAGCATCGATGGCTGCAAAATGAGCATCCAATGCAGAAATGGATGCAAAACGTGCATCTAAGGATTCGGTGATTTGTCCAATCGTTGTTGGATCTCTACGCGATGAGATGCAAACTCCTCTGCTAAGTCTTGGACTCGCATTGTTGCTGAGTGCAAGATCGATGAAAGCACCAGATGATACGAATATACTCTTAGAGAGAGAAAATGAATCGAACAAACTTGTTTATTATTCAATGAATTCTACAAAATGGTTCATCACCTCCTTTTATACAGTTTCCTTAACTACCTCATGTGGCCTTAGCCACCTCACTCCTTCCCTAACTACCTTTACACCTTAATCACAATTAATATTCTACAACCTATCACGCTACATAGTAGTAGCGTAGCCTCACGGAGTCTTTCCTTACACGCTTAGACCTTCTGCTCGTATCATAAGGTCACTCAGGGCTAAGAATATAGTTCAGAAAATGTTTAACCCAAGCAAAGGTGCGCTCCACCAACGTATCTGTTAAAGCCCAGCAATCAACAAATTTTACTTTATGATGAACAAAAAATCATGGGAATGCGATTCCTTTCATCTTCAATATAAAACCAGCTTAAGAAAGATACAAGAGGAGTGATAGCAGTGAGTACCCCTTTTCTTCAGCCCGTTAAGAACCTTTTTCGTAGTGCTTCCAATCATTGAATTGTGAATTCCAAGCTCTTTGGAATTCAGCCTCTTCCATGCCGGGGCCTTCTTGTTTTCTTCATCAATTTAACAACACAAACCATTTCAGAATTACACAATACAAAACTCTAATTCAAAATTTCAAAAAATCAAAATAAAACACTTGAGTTCACTAACAATTGAGTTGTGTCCTTCACTTGCCTGCTTCACGAATTGAGCCGCTACATTCTTCGTTTGTCAAGGTCTCTGCCTCAACCGCAGCGACAAATCTCGGCACAACCTTAAATAAGACCAAAACAAAAATCAACAATCGGAGAAGATAAAGAACAAGCAAGATTAAAATAAATTTTTAAGATTAATGAACGAAGATTAAAATTCCGGTATTACAAAAAAACACACACACACACACCTTGCGAAGACATTGAAAAGGAGTGGGACGAAGAAAAAGATTGGGTTGGCGCGCGAATTTTAAGACAGCGACCGCCATGGAAATGAACTGAGAAGCACCATAAGCGTCGAGAAAGAGGGTTTAGGGTTTTAGGAGAAACAAGTGCCAATTTTTATTTCTTATTTTTTCAGATTATTTGTTGTCATTATTTTCTTTTTCTTTTTCTTTTTTTTGGTAATCATCATTATTTTCTTTTTATTTCAATTATTGATATCCTCAAATTTTTATTTGTCTTGTTTTATTTTGGGGGAATAACTTAACAATTGTATTTTTACCGACGGTTTGGATTTTAATTTTTTTTTTCTTTATAGGTAGAAATTAGGTCAAATAGATTTTCATAAAAATTCTTATAATAAAAAGAATTTTTTTTATAAAAGAAAAAAACAGTCAAAAGTTCTTAGAAAGAATTTTTTTTAAACTCTATCACTTTTTTAAAGAGGAAGGATATTCTTACTACCAAAATTTTCTACTACCAACTCACAACTTATTTAATCACCATTGGATCAATATTTTCTCTTTTTTAAAATTTTTTTTAACATTCTCTCTCTTTGATTTAATGGTGATTAGATGGGTAGTAAGTTAGTAGTAGAAAATTTTGGTAGTAAGAATATCCTCCTTCTTTTTTAAATGCTTTTTTTTTTTTTAATGAACAGTTTTTAAATAATTTTTAAACTAAATTTTTTATATAATAGTAATCACCAAATAATTTTTAAGTTTTTTTTTAATTTTAACTTAAAAGTAGTTTTAAATTTTAAAAAAATCCTTTTGTAAAGAAAAATTATCGAATGAATATAGAATATAACTAACTAATGCAATCATTAATGCAGTCACGTGATACGTTTTCGTAAGTTACACGTATACAATAGTACAACTAATTAAGCACCTAGTGCATGTACAACTAGTTATTGATAATTTCAGCTGTTTGTCCAAATAGTTGCATTGTTTATGGCCATCTACGTGGCATTTAGGGTGTGTTTGATATAAGAGAAGTTTTTTGGTGACTGGAAATCATGATTAATGGGAATTCAGTAGAAATTGAATTTACTTGGAATCTTACGAAAGATGTGTTTGGTTCGCCAAAATATTACCGGGAATATTGGGTAAAAATTACTGATTCCATATTTGGTTTAGAACGAAATATGACTTGGAATATGAGGTTATTTTACAAAAATAACCCCAAACTATTTTTACTTTTGTAATTGATAGATTGGGTCTAGATTTTTATGTGTATTGGGGTATTTTTGTCTCAAAATTTATTGTTGTGCTTTCCCTTTACTTGGTATTCTGATTGGTATTCCGAATTACCATATTATTTTTGGTAATCTGAATAGTGACTTTTCTTTATAAATCAAATTACCGGTAATCCTTGGATATCCGGGAATCGTAATTTATTCCTTCTACCAAACGTGGTAATTACATTTACCAAAGAAAGATTACTGATAATCCTCTCCAAAAACTTGAACCAAACACCCCTTATGGTTGTAGGTTGGGACTTGGGATTGACCTGAGCCAAAAGTAGTTGCCCATTTACATCTTGAAATCCCAAGACTTCAAAAGAGGCTTCATTTGTGTCTCGCGAGTATTTGTTCTTGTTCTCTTGATGAAAAATGTTAATTTTTCGCTCCCTTTATAAGTATTTTTTTTTTTGGAAGTTATATTTATTATTATTATTTTTTATTAATTCTCATTATTAATTTTTATTAATTCTTATTATTAATATTATTATTATTGAATAAAAATTAAATCAACGGTTCTTATTTGATATTATTTTATAACTATTGATTTGATTTTAATCCAACGATATAAAATTGATAACAAAAAATAGCAAAAGAAAATTAGTAAATATAACCTACCACATTCTTTTATATTAATAATTACTTTTGCATATACTTGGTACCCACTTAGTTACGCCTATAGTATATATGCACCTCACTAGTTACGCTTATAATATATATCCAGTTAGGCACAACTAGCTGCATTAGTTGGATAAATACTTGAATTGTATATTAATCTGGTATTTTTAAAAAATACAGTTACATAGGTTTTTTTCCTTTTATTTAGTCTATTTAAGCTCTTTTGCTTCTTGTTCCCTTTTTTCAATCTTATTGAATGTTTATATCTGAACTAGTGAATTAATAATCTGAATAATAATATTTTAGCTTAGGTGATATTGAGATTTTTTTTTAATAATATGGGTTTCAATTTATTAGATTACTAGTGAAATACCCATGCGATGCCCGAGAGAAAAAGAACAAAATATTTGTCGTCTGTCGTTGTTGGTTAATCGCACTGCAAATCTTATATTTACAAAAACCTGTGTTGTTATCTTGTTCTATATTTCAGGTGGAAAAAACTACAACATTGACACAGAACTTTGCAAGTGTCAACCATAAACAAAAATCTGTTATACAGAGTGATCAATATTATGCAAATCAAATATAGTTATCTACTCGATGAGTTATGTAAAAAATAAATACGTCACAGTAGATTATGTTAAAATGAGGATGGCTAAAAAAAGAAAAATGCATACAACTTATTGCTAACTATAACAGCCACTAATAAAATCAAGGTAACAAACAACCAAGCAAATATGGAATTAAAAGATCAGCTTGTACCTATAATAAGAAAACGCTATTAATTCAGTGTCATTCTGTAGCAATCATTGGAGGGATGAGTTCAACACATACCAAACATGTGATTTCCTATGTTTATGCATTACCAGGGACATCCTCTTCTACCATCATATTTATGCCGATACAAAATGCAAATGTTCATTAAATAAATTACGCTAATATGTTAACACCCAGAAGTAATAATCTCAATTCTCAGAAAAAAATGGGTTATTTTTTTTTTTAGAACCCAAAAAACGTTGTCTGAAAGGGATTTGAAAGCAAATTAACCAAATGGTCATGTATGAGTCATATTTTTTGCTTACATTGGAACAAATGTGTCTAAACAACATCAAATCAATACACATGTTAAAAACTTGTAACAATATAAAGAACCCACAATGATAAATTTTTAAAAAACAACAACATACATTCAGGTCTACCAAAAACTTAAAGAATGAGGTGACAATAGCTTCGCTGCTTCAAACACTTAAAACTCTATATATTGGCTCATTATATGACTCCAAATTTTTTTTTTTACGTTGACCTTAAATAACATGGATTTTTCATTAAGAACATTAAGTTTTCTAGGATAATGTTCCAAATCAACACCCTACATAAAAAAACTCCTTCAAAATTAAGTATAACTCGTGCGATGCACGGGAAAAAAAGAAATTTTTTTGTCTGTCTCGTAAAAATTAATGCAAATCATAAAAATATATCTCTGCATTTTATTTAAATCAATACTGTTAGCTACCTAACTTCAACTTTTTGTACATATAGAGCTGGCAAATTCTTGAGTTATTATGTTTAATATAAAAGAAGAAGAGCAAAATTTTAATTTAATTACAAAAAAATATAGGTGGGCAAGTCCTCCGGACCGACTCCACTTTGCAATCTCTAATTGTCAGCATTATAAACTAGCATGTAATAAGTTTTTATATTTATCCACACGAAAAAGTTCTTATATTTGCATCTAAGTTTTTATATTTTATCTCAAAGATGGACTTTCGTTTATTACAATCAGATTTAAAAAATAATAATAAATATATTTTTTGCAAGGATTTGCATCGTTTGTATTTGAAATTTTACAAATTTGTATTTACAAAAATTAAAATCAGATTTATGAATTTAATTATAAAAAAGAAGGACAAAATTTTAATTTAATTATAAAAATGTGTTAGTAGGCCGGCCCTCCGGGCGGAGCCTAGTTTGCCACTTATAACTATTAGCATGTAATAGGTTTTTATATTTATTAGCAAAAAAAGGCTTTTATAATTGCGTATAGGATTTTATATTTTATCTCAGAGATTAACTTTCATTTCTTACAATTAGATTTACAAAATAATAATAAATAATTATTTTTTTGCAAGGATTTGTGTCGTTAGTATTTGGAATTTTATAAATTTATATTTACAAAAATTGAAATCTGAATTAGGAATTTAATTATAAAAGAAGAATAATGGAATTTTAATTTAATTATTAAACCGTGTTGGCAGGAGGGGCGTGCAGGCCCTCTGGTCCAAGCCCAGTTTGCAACCTCTCTTTTTTTTTGGTAAATCCAGTTTGCAACCTTTAACTATCCTCGTTTTACGTAAATAATTATTTTTTGCAAGGATTTGTGTCATTAATATTTTGAATTTTACAAATTTGTATTTACAAAAATTAAAATCAGATTTAGGAATTTAATTATAAAAGAAGAAGGATAAAACTTTAATTTAATAATAAAAATGTGTTGGTGGGCCAGCCCTTCGGGCCGAGCCCAGGTTGCCACCTCTAACTATCAGCATACAATAGATTTTTATATTTATCCACAAAAAAAGTTCTTATCGTCACATTTAGGTTTTTATATTTTATCTCAGAGATGGACTTTCATTTATTACAATCAGATTTAAAAAATAATAATAAATAATTATTTTTTGCAAGGATTTGTATCGTTTGTATTTGAAACTTTACAAATTTGTATTTACAAAAATCAAAATCAGATTTAGGAATTTAATTATAAAAGAAGAACGATGAAATTTTAATTTAGTTATAAAAATGTGTTGGTGGGCCGGCTCTCTGGGTCGAGCCCAGTTTGCCACCTCTAACTATTACCATGTAATAGGTTTTTATATTTATCCACAAAAAAGGGCTCTTACAGTTGCGTCTAGGTTTTTATATTTTATCTCAGAGATAAACTTTTATTTATTACAATTAGATTTACAAAATAATAATAAATAATTATTTTTTTGCAAGGATTTGTGACGTTATTATTTGGAATTTTATAAATTTGTATTTACAAAAGTTGAAATCTGAATTAGGAATTTAATTATAAAAAAAGAATAATGGAATTTTAATTTAATTATAAAAACGTGTTGTAGGGCGGGGCAAGCAGGCCCTCTAGGTCAAGCCCAGTTTGCAACCTTTAACTATCAGCATCTTTATATTCTTTGTTTAATCTATAATTTTTTATTAAAATTAAAATGTCTTTTATATATATATAT